AAATATGGTATCAACTTTCAATTGGATCATCCTCAAATAGGGTCAGGGCTTAGTCAACCTCGTTCCCAGTTCTTTGGCTTTGGGTTCAGTAAAACTTTTCGCGGCACGCACCTATTCCAAATATAAGTACCCCCCGCCCCGCCCCCCCGCCCATTGCGATTGCAATTTAGTGTTAACAATGTAGATCGGTTGTATAGTAACGGCTGCTTGACAATCGCATCAGCAACGTAGTGAAATTTCCAAATAAAGAAAACACTGAATGAAAAGTGATGTTACAGCACGGTGAACTCACGCCTTCATGTTGTTTCCAAGAAAGTTCTAGAAAGGTTGGTATTTTAATATAGATTATGCTTTTGCCACGTCAATACAGAGCTAAATCACAACTTGTAACTAATTTTACTAACGAACCTAAAATACTGACTACCGGTACTGTCTTAAACATTTTATCAACAACGGTTCAATCGCTAAACGGCCGATATTTAATCAGTACATTTAAATCCTTGTCTAACACTCGCAGCTCTTGAGCCAGGAGGCGGGTAAAGTTAAACCCTATAGAACTAGCAGTCAAGATTTGCAAATGGTGAAGGAGACCAGTATTAGAGCCTAAAGGAAGTCAGTGCTCATGCAAAAACTATGGTACATGTGATTACAGGATAGCAGACCTGTCCACGAAAACGAACTTCAACCTGGAGGCAAGGCATCTTACTGGAAATGATTGTAACATCTGTGGAGGTAGCGTGGCCGAGTGGTTAGGGCGCCGGACTTGAAATCCGGAGGTCGTGGGCTCAAGTCTCGCTGTTACCACTTTTAAAGCTGGAGTTGTTTCCCCACAGACCCTAGTTCAACTCTTCTGTTATGCTTGTAAATAGCCAACTGGAGTGCCTCCCGCCTGTTGGGATTTTTAAACCTGTTATGGTTAAGCTAAAATGCATAAGATCATTCACCGGCCCAAATGTTGCTCGTGAGAGACTTAGATTGGTCAGCTGGACAGAACTATGGATAAAAAAAAGAAAGTTTTGGAAAAAATGTGCTTTTCCTTAAGTGGCATGCCTGAGAACTGTAGCTAGTTGTAGCTAAGCGCATCGACCACTATAAACATTCAACATCTTTTTTTAATATTTTTAACAGCAAGNGCTTCATGTTTGATACATGTACTGTAGTTTGGAATGAGACTGCTGTTGGAGAAAAAGTGGAGCTTCAAAAACTTTCGTGACAGCCTAGATGCGTAATTACTACATTAGCCCTCACAGCCAGGTAAAAAAAAGTATAGTACATACAATGCTTCGTCGTCTTGGTAATTGCTCGACGCTACTTTCATATTTCTACTATTCTTAGCATTTTATTCCGTGAATGTCTTCCTGCATTTGTGCGCTAAGTTACAAGATTCAATACAAGAGAAGATAGATATGAGCCGCGTTTACGTTAATTTTTCAGTGTCTATAAACACCTACTGCTTCGAATAAGTCAGATGCTCATGTTAAAGCATACCACGCATACACATCAACACATGTTTCGCCACTGTTGTCACCTTCATCACAATCGATCCAATCCTGTCCGTACCATATCTGCAACTCCTGATTGCGTGACACAGGCAGCTTGTTAGGAAGGTCCGGGAAAATGAGCTCAGGAGATGTGTGGGTAGTTCCATTAAGACTGTAAAAGTGTTTTTTGTTGTCACACTCTTGTACTTTCAGGTCTCCAGCAGGTGGCAGGATGGCTTCTCTCTTTGCATTGGTAATGATAGTCTGTAAGCTGTTGTTGCCATACCTTAGTACATTTGAGCAGCCCCAGAAGGATTTCGTGTCTTTCGGGTTGCATCTGACCCAGCCCCACTTGCGAACGAGCTTCATCGTCTTGAGAAGTCCACTCTTCGTGATGTTAAAGGCGCCGTACTGCTCATTTAGCGCCCCAAAGCAAACGGGTTCTGTGTTTAATTTCTGCCAGTTCTCTAAAATGAATTTTCAGAGAAAAATATTTGCATCCATGTCTTACGTTGCGATCCTGTGGCACACTCTTAATATTAAGGGTCAGGTGCCAATCAGATCAATGTTATAAATCTTTTTTAAAGTCATCTGCTAACATGACACAATTTAATTTTTCTTTTTTCATTAGCATCAACTCCTAGGTATATTGAGGGAAATTTTCAGAGGCAAAACCAGTTTCTTTAAACACAAAGGTTAAGATCGTTACCGATCGCTCCCACAGGCGGACAAAATTTCAATATTTCTGCCAATCAGCACTCACCTCTGGATTGTTTTGGACGCTTTAATTTATACTTGTGCCGTTGAAAACAAAAAGACTGTTTGCCCTCAAAAATTTATTGGTTGATCGATCAATAGACTGAGCTACTCCGGTTTCTTGCAAATTTAAATTTTTTGGAGGTGCTAAAAGGTTAAACTTCTTTATCAATAAACTAAAAGGGCGTACCTTCACAGCGAGCCAGGATTTTCTGATCATTCCCGTCAGAGTATATTCAGTAATCCCCGTGAACCATTTCATTTCCTTCACTAGCCTTGATCTCACTGCACGATTCAGCAGGAAGCTCTTGAATGGAACCAAGCGGGACTGTGAGATAAAATAAAAAGATAAAGTAATTTTGAGATAGTAATTTTGCTTCAAGTAATTTTATGAACAAGAAGAGCTAATAACAGATAAACCTTATTCGTAACCCTCTTCTTTTTATTGGTTGAGTTAAATTCAGGCAAACGCTTATGTGGCTTTTGGGATTTTACATGCTAGTGCTTTGTTTCGGATTGATGCTACAAATGGTTGATAGGCCAAACACGACTACTAATGAAAAGAAGAAACTTTGACCTCTAAAGCTTTGCTTCAACGAAGAACGTTTTCAAAGATCTCCCTTTTCTGTATAAAAGCAGGGAAGGGTCTTTAGAGACCTCTCTTAGCAAGGGCTGATTTTCTTTTAAATGCCATATACTCATATTTTCTTAACATTAGGCAAGTAGAGGCCGTAATATTAGTGGGAGAAACTGAGATGTCAAACTACCAACGAAATTCTGTCACAAACTGCAAAATTCTTTTGGGCCTGTTTTGTTTATTTTGCACTGGGTAACCTCTGTTGCGTAATCTGCGTTTGAATTGGGTAATGTTTTCTTCAAATGTAGCTTTTGAAGAGAGTTGGTTCTCAGAAGTCGAAAGTCTTCGCCTTTAAAAAAGCCCATGATCCGGACGCCTCGAGGGTGCCAGGAGGTGAAGTGCGTGTATTGGAGAGTTTCTGTCGGTTTTAAGTGCACGCGCACGTCGAGAATAGATTCTTTCTTAAGGTGATTCCTTGGTATTGCATTGCGCATCCCTACTGCGCACGATTTTCTTGTCATTAGCGCGCGCACATGAGGGCATACGCGTGCAAAACGTAAGAGATTTCCCTCAAACTAGGCTCGATAGCGAAAGCAATGCTCTTTTTCTCTTAAACGAGCACGGTGACCCCCAGTTTTTATTCAGTTCATAATTTCAATATCCTCAATAACTGAGAAAAAAATAGCAGAAATTTATGGCTACTTTTTTGGCAAATGAAATAAATACTACAGAGGGAGACATAACGGGCCCAACAGCTTTTTGGGACGCAGAAGAATAAATAATCAAAGAAATTCAAACTCTGTGTGATATAAAACGCTGCTTTGAAAAATAATTGAGGTTATTTGTTGCCCACGGAGATTACCAAAAGTCACCTAAGTAACCGTATTTGTCAGCATTGTGGCGTGAAAACAAGCACGGTGACCCCCTCTTTTTATTACGTTTTTTAATATCTCCTTGTCCTGTAACAACAGCATACCAAGTTTCATTGGAAATCTATGGCAGGTTCTTTTACTAGGGAATCACCTTAAATCTTTTCCCCCTGTATACTGTAAGCATGTATCCAACAAAATTATATCTTTATCTGAAATTTCAGCCGTGAATTTTACGGTCACTGATATACATAATAGTTATTCACCAGCTTTATAAACGTGTTTATTTCCTTTTTATTTATTTTCCATAGAGAAATGACCTCATCGAAATATCTTTTTCGGTGAGGTTTTTTGGTTATCATGTTTGTCCTTCAGTTTTGAGCTTGACTAAGCTTACGCCACACAAAACGTGAGCAATAAAAAACCATTTTTAGACAAGCAAAATTAATAGTTCGGTTAACTTCTAATCCTGGGTTAGCGTTAACCGGCTTTCGAACGACCCTGCCGGGGGATTTTTATGGCTGCGGTTAATGATTTCTGTTCCTACCGCGGGCGTGATAATGTTGGCCAAGGAGACCGCCATTTCTGTAGTCATTGCGGTATCATGTGTTGCCGCTAAGATGAAAGGATTTTTCTTTTAAGAGAAGCTTTAGAATCTCTCTGAGGTAGAGGTAGGTATGGGAGGTTTGTTTGGGTGCAATGTTTCGTATGTTTTACATACAGTCGTTATTCCTTGCTCCGGCCTGTGGGATGTTAGCTTATAGTTTTGTAACGTCCATTGCGCCGAAGCCACGTACGCAGACATCCCACCTTTTCTCCTGGTGGTTTCGCCGCCCCGATCGGAGAATCCTCAGGCCGCGCTCAAAATTACGCGCGCTACGCACACTAGCATTGAAAATAGCTGCATTGGAAAAATGAGACAAACATGCAAGTAAGGAGAGCGGAAGTGTACCTCTGTTTTTGCCCTTTTCATGTAGAACCTTGTCTGATCCGGCGAGCCTAAAATCTTCAGGTCTCGCTTCCTTGGTTCGATTGTTCAGCTCGCAGACTTTATGACCAATGACGAAATTGTAGCTTTGACACGTGACTTCTTCGCTCATCAAATAACACCCTGCAGGCCATCCAACCTTGCTTGTTTTAAAGGTGTGGCCTCTGAGGAACATTCCTCCAAAGGAGTTTTCCGCTGTTGGACATTGGACAGCAGCTTGAAATACACCAACCCGGGACATCAGGACGCAACTGGGAGCCAAAACTTGGGATTCATATTGAATTGACTACGTGAGTGCCTGTGCTACATGCGAAATAAAAAAGTTCAAAATGACCTGTAATTGATACTAAATAACACCACTACTGAGATTCAGTTTTGTTGTAAGCGTCTGTTTAATTTAATCACTAAAAAGATCGAGGTTCCCAACCATTGCTGTCCTCATTTGTGCACGGCAGAAATTAATAAACTCCTTAATTTA